TAGATTTTTAATTTTAACTCCGATTCATTTCTTATCTAATTAAATATTTCACTTTTATTATCTAAAGGATGAAGCCTAATTTATTCAATAGTTTTACAATCCAATTCAAACAAAAATTTTAACTTCTCGTCAAATTATATACAAAAAAATTCTCAAAATCCATAAAAAAAGTATCAAAAAATAAAATTAGATTAACAAAATACATTTAACAAATAGAATAAAACCAACATCATAAGATAAACATACTAATCAAAAATAAAGATTAAAAGATTGTACCNCTCTCTGCCCTTCTCTTCCTCAACCTCTCCAACAATGGCTTTAACCAAACCTTCCCCCAGAGCTCTCGCGCCTCGAGAGACTAGAGGTCCTCGACCTCTACAACAACAACAACATGACCAACCCACTCTCTCTAGTCGTCATGCATATGCTTAACCTCCCTCTTATCAGTACAAAATTATTCAAGAGAATCAAATACATACCACTCTAGAACGGAATACAACATGTAACCTAAAGCCAAACTGTGAGGGAATCGAATACAGAAAAAATGAAATCGAATACACCATGTTTTTACTCTAGGGAACCGAATACAGAAAAAATGAAACCGAATACAAACACATGGAACCGAATACAGGTCCCTTTGTATTTGTTTGTATCACGAGAACTGAATATAAATGCTATGTAATCGAATACGTCTCTGTTCTTTTTTCATCTTCAACCACTCCTCTTCATCTTCTTCATGTTCAAACACTTTGGAATAAGTTATTTTTACATTAGAATCGAATATGTTATTTGCACGTTAGTATATTTTGACATGGTATTATAAGATAAGTCAAGGACATATGTGATTTTTTAAACATAATCCCTCCTAATCTTGACACATTAGCGGATGATAAAAAAGTTATTTATCTCGCAAATCATCTCAAATCAGTCTATACATACTTTTTAAAACAAACATGCAAATCAACTCAATTCTTCACTCGCAAATCTGACTGTGAAATTCATTTATTGTAAACACCGTTTTAATGACGAGCTTTTAAAATGCTTTTATTTTGTATTGTTTTTTTCTTCTTCTTTCAAATCCATATAATAAGATGGGAATACGACAGAATGAGATGGAAATAGCAATGATATAATTATATGTATTCATATCTTTGTGGTTAATAGTCGTTGAACAATTATGTTTATCACTTTTTTATAATTTGTCGTCTTTTTCTATTTTTCATCTTTTCTTCTTATCGCTTATGCCAACGTGGTAAGAATTGAATGAGCGTGTCTGTATTTTTTGTTCTATCTTGCTTTAGTGCCGAGAAAGAAAGAATGAACTAAAAAATGTTAGGTAAATTTAGTATGAATCCAGCGAGGATCATATAATAAGGTATTTATGGTATACAGGTATGCACACATTAAATAGTTGTACTGTATCTTAAATTCTATCTCTTGATTGATTCAACTACCAATCCACTTTTAAAAACATTCTCCATCTCCATTTCTTAATCTATGATTCGACGCTGATTCCTTAATCAATTAATATTTGAAGTTTGATCTTCAACTTAAACATGAAACCCACTTAAAAATAGCACGTTACCCACCTCAAAATGTGATTAATAGTTAAAGAATAGAAATGAGAAAAGATTCGATCCATCTATTAGCTGTTACTTGAGTACTCATTTAAAAAATATATTTAAAAAATATAGATATCTATGGATATTTAAAAAAATATTTTATAAATATTTAAAATTTAAATACTAAAAACTATATAATATAATATAAATTAAAATTAATTTTAATTAAATTTAATTTAATAAAATATAAATTAATTTTAATTAAATTTAACTTAATAAAATATAAATTAAATTTTAATATTAAATAATGAATATTTGTGAATATAAATAATATGATATTAGTATAAACTCATTTATAAAAGATTTTGATTAAATTGGTACATGAGTCTTTTGACTACATGATTGCATGTCTAGAGCCCTTTCAAGCCATGTGAGTATTTATCTAGGGAGGGACCCCACATAATAAAGGTCACAGTTCCTTAGATGGTAAGATATGCCCTGCTTCCCTTCTATCTTTCCCAGATTCCCTTGAATCCAAGGGTACCTAGCAAATGCATGCGAAAGCTCCATGCTTCCATGTTTTCTCCATCCCAACACAAAGGAACAATCAAAATGTTTAAAGCCAGAAAGCTGAATGGAACTTTCATAACAACTTTTTTAATAATTTTTTAATAATTTTTTAATAATAAATTATATATCATTTCGTATATTTGAATTAATCACATATTGTTATATAAACATGATCATAAACGGTTGTCAACAAATTCTAAAAGAAAAATTGTTAAAAGAAAGTTTTCCAACTTTCATATTGCTTCCTATGCTATTTTTTGTTATTCAGATTATTAAATGCGTTCACGGTTTCAGCTATCATATGGTACATGCATTAATTGTTCAATATAATAATGCATGGTCCAGTCAATCCAATCTCAATCATTGATCTCCTATCACCTTCTAACCTAACCATAAAATCTATTATCATAAAGTTATTCAATTAAAATATTATTCGGTGCATTAAAAATTCCAAGTTAAATACATTTTAAACCAAATTTTCCTTATATGTAAATATATTTGGAAAAATAATCTTTCTTGTTGGGAGGCACAGTAAAAAGCGAATGAATTTAATTTTCTTATATTATTGAAACACGTAAATGATGTTAAAATATTGTTAAAAGCTGTTGTAAAAATATTATTCTTCATTTATATATATGTGTTTTTTTTTATATATATATAGAGCGCAGATACCGACAGTGGAAGCACGTTGTTGTGTTTTGTTTGCAAACAATGTTGGTAGATTCCAGTTCTGGTTTTCCCTAATTTGAAGGAAACGTTGCTTTATTCTGTTGATTTTGGTGTCTTTGGTGGAAGTAAAAACAAAGGAAGAAAGATATACTGCAACGCACGATGGAAAGTGGAAAAAGGTTCCCGTAAAAACTGGGGGACGATGTGCTAATTTTGTTCTCTGGATATGAACTTGGCAAGAAGCAAAACTGATCCCAGCTTGGGTTTTCTATTTCTTACACATTCCAAGCGTTTATACCAAGATACATGCATCACTTTAATTTTATACTTTGTATATTATTGAAGTACCGGCTGAAAAGTTTGAAAGACATAAAAAAAGAGTTAAAAATGATGTCTTTTAATTAATATTTATTTTTTTATGTAAAATAATTTATTAAATTTTTTTTAATTAATTTTATTTAATTTTTACATAGATTTTTAATTTTAACTCCGATTCATTTCTTATCTAATTAAATATTTCACTTTTATTATCTAAAGGATGAAGCCTAATTTATTCAATAGTTTTACAATCCAATTCAAACAAAAATTTTAACTTCTCGTCAAATTATATACAAAAAAATTCTCAAAATCCATAAAAAAAGTATCAAAAAATAAAATTAGATTAACAAAATACATTTAACAAATAGAATAAAACCAACATCATAAGATAAACATACTAATCAAAAATAAAGATTAAAAGATTGTACCAGCATAAAATTCAAAAAATAAAATATGCCAAAACTAAACTCTAGAATAGAAAAAGTTAAGAAGAGATAAGGAGTGTAATGAAAAGATGAGAAGTCAAAGAGATAAAAAAGAAAATAAAAATAAAATTTGATTATAGATAATATAATAACTAATATTTTTTTCTAAACGAAATTATAATTTATTGAAAAAAAATTAACTCATTAAATATCATTTTTAATATCAATAAAAGTTAATGTACAATAATAATTTAATTAATTTTTTTAACATTAAATTAAAATTAATTTAATAAAAATATATTAATACTAATATAATTTTATAGAAATATATTATTAATTAAAAAAATTGTGTTTTTTTTCTCAAACATAATTTTGTAACCAATTTAATAGAGGAATATTATTTTTTTAAAAAAATTTGAGACTCTTAATTTTTGAAGGTCCGAAGGAGAGTGCTTTACCTGTTTTCTCCTTAAGCCAGTTATGTTGGTGAAAATTTTACCATTTTTGTTCGTAACTTATTATTTTAACTCAGGAAATAGACACTAAAAGGGACGATTGATGACCGACACGGTTTCATTGCAGACCCCCCAATGCGTTGGATGAGAAAAAGAAGAGTTTTTGTGGTACTTGTTAAGCTTACAGGTTTTTGATGTTCACGATCCGATGCTGAAGATGATGGTGTGCAGATTTGAATTCAAATCTCGAAACCAAAGGTTTGCACATGGACGGTGTTCCCTTGACAATACTTCTATTAATCAGACAAATTTAAGCAAAGATTTCTTTCATTAAGTACATTGACCCTAGTCACTGCTCTTTAATGGTTCTTGGGATTCACTATTTATTTGCCCCACCACTGTAATCTGAATTGGGACCTGTGCTCTCCAATGGTGGCCTCCATGGCCGATTGGGGACCATTCCTTAAGAACAATATGCTCCCATTCCCTACATCCCTGAAACAAGTTCCATTGAACTTTGCATGCAAAGAGGAACAACATGCTCTAGCTATATGCCACACGCCTCCTGTGAACAATATCTTCTCTATATGTATACTATGGTAGATCTTTTCAAAGAAGAGGGATGGAGGATTATATACTGAAACAACAACAACACTGATGAATTTGAAAGTGAAAGCTCTTTAACAATGCTGGAATGTACAATAACAGGTTAGATGATTATCACTCTCAGATGGATAGAGAAAGAAGCACAAAAGGTCATGGAGGAAAAAGGAATTTTATATCAAGCACCTATCATTAAGATGTTTGCTTATAAGCAGCATAATTTTTCATAACTTAATGGCATCATTATCATTATCCATTAATGCAGATTGATATTGACAGCCTAACTAAAAACATTCAAATCAATGATCTCATGACCGCAACAGATTAAGACACTGATTAGAGAAAGCGAATTTAGAAAATCAACTCAATTCGAAATGCTAACATATAATACCAACCAGTAGCAAGCAAAAGAAACAAAATTTATAAATAAATAAATAAAAGTAGTGTGATATAATAGAGACAATAACGATACACTAGTAACCATCAGCGGCAGCACAAAGTGCAACTGCAATGCAACTGCCTTTGCAGCCATAACTTATGCTCTCCCATTCATCCCTATACATGCATTTGCTCTGCGACCTACTCTTTTTCTGCCATTCTTATTTCTCGACTGCAATATTCATAATAATTCAAGTCAATAAGGAAAGAGAATTAATTTCTCCTCTTATAAACCCCGTTTTGCTGCAACCTCTTCTCTGTTTCTATTGTCGATAGATATAAAGAACAAAAAGCTGTTTCGCTAGATCTTGTGGTTGTCTCCTGCGAAGTTTCCTTCATAAGCGACGAGAGTCGCATGACATTCGAGGGTATCAACACAGAAGAAACGGCCGCAATAATAAAAAAAAGCGTGACTCTTGTTGCCCGACGAGGGAAAAAGTCCTCAAAAGAATCAATAAAAGGGTGGAGGCGGAGGCGATGCGTATGGGAGTCCCACTATGGGTGGCAATGGCCCTTCATATACAGGGGCAGGTGGTGGGTTTTGGTATACAACAGGTGGCGGTTGAGAAACTGCCGGTGGAGGAGGCGGCGGGGGAGGCGAACTGTATTGAACCGGTGGAGTTGGAGAGGGAGAAGGGGATGGTGGCGGGTGATAAGGTGGGTGAGATGGGGATGGTGGTGGGAGGTAAGGTGTGGGAGAAGGTGTTGATTGCGGAGGGGGTGGAAGAAGTTCTGTACAAGGTGGTGGTGGAGGTGGGACACGAACAGGATAAGGAGGTGGTGGGGGTGATAAATAAGGGTAAGGATGAGGCGATGGTGAGTGATGAGGTGTAGGAGGTGGCGATGAGCCATAATTATGTGAAGGTGGTGGTGTCGAGAATGTAGGAGCCGGTGGCGGTGGAGAGTGGACACCATTTGGTGGCGTTGGAGTAGGAAAAGGTGTCACTGGAGAAGGCGGAGTGTATGATGGAGGCGGCAATTGCGAAGGTGGAGGAGGTTGTGAAGAGTAGCCAGGTGGAGCAGGGGAAGAATGTGGTGGTGGCAAATACACCGGTGAAGGAGGAGTGTGAATTGGTGGTAGTGGAGAAGGTGCCACTGGCCGGGGTGGAGGGGAATGTCCCACCACCGGTGGTTCCGAAGGAGGTGTAGGTAGTGGTGAAGGTGTCGTAGGTGAAGGTAATGGGGAAGGTGCGGCAGGCGAAGGAGGCGAAGGTGTTGTAGGTGAAGGTAACGGCGAAGGATTTACGGGTGAAGGTGTCCCAGGTGATGGAGGCGAAGGAGTTACAGGTGAGGGTGACCCAGGAGATGGTGGCGAAGGAGTTACAGGTAAAGGTGTCCCAGGTGATGGAGGCGAAGGAGTTCCTGGTGAAGGTGTCCCAGGTGATGGAGGCGAAGGAGTTACAGGTGGTGTCCCAGAAGATGGTGGTGAAGGAGTTACAGGTGAAGGTGTCCCTGGTGATGGAGGCGAAGGAGTTACTGGTGAAGGTGTCCCAGGTGATGGAGGCGAAGGAGTTCCTGGTGAAGGTGTCCCAGGTGATGGAGGCGAAGGAGTTACAGGTGGTGTCCCAGAAGATGGTGGTGAAGGAGTTACAGGTGAAGGTGTCCCTGGTGATGGAGGCGAAGGAGTTACTGGTGAAGGTGTCCCAGGTGATGGAGGCGAAGGAGTTACAGGTGAGGGTGACCCAGGGGATGGGGGCGAAGGAGTGACAGGGAAAGGTGTCCCAGGTGATGGAGGCGAAGGAGTTCCTGGTGAAGGTGTCCCAGGTGATGGAGGCGAAGGAGTTACAGGTGGTGTCCCAGAAGATGGTGGTGAAGGAGTTCCTGGTGAAGGTGTCCCAGGTGATGGAGGCGAAGGAGTTACAGGTGGTGTCCCAGAAGATGGTGGTGAAGGAGTTACAGGTGAAGGTGTCCCTGGTGATGGAGGCGAAGGAGTTACTGGTGAAGGTGTCCCAGGTGATGGAGGAGAAGGTGTCCCAGGAGATGGTGGTGAAGGAGTTGCAGGTGTTGTGGGGGAAAGAGGTGAAGGAACAAATGGCTTGCAGTTAAAGGAGTTACAGTCCACAGGCTTAGACAAGAAAGCCTGACATTGCGCCGGAGGCCTCTGAACGGGCCTCGCCGGCAAGCAGTTGATCCTATCGTCAAACGCCGGCAAGGCGAGACAGGCAGGAGGCTCGCCGGTGAAGAAGTTAAAGGAGTAAGTGAAGTTGAGAAGGTGAGGCAACATACATATACTGGGAGGAATTTGACCGGAGAGTAAGTTGTGGGCCACGTTGAGCTGCTCCAAGCTGACGGCATTTCCAACGGCGCTTGGTAAGGGGCCGAGAAGTTGGTTAAAGCTGACGTCGAACACCGTGAGATTCTTCAACAAGCCTATCTCGGAGGGCAAGCAGGATCGGAATGCGTTGTTCATGAGAATGATCTCGTTGAGGTTGGACATGTTGCCGAGGCTGTGGGGAATGCAGCCGTGGAATCTGTTGTTGGCGAGGACGATGACGGAGACGGGGGAGTTGCCGAAGTTGTCTGGAAGGTCAAACACGAAACGATTGTCGTTGATGAAAATGGCGTCGAGATCTTTGTCGAACAATTCCCGGGGCACAGCTCCTTCGAATTCGTTGAACCTAAGATCCAAGAACTTGAGCGAAGGAAGGCGCAGAACCACCTCGGGGAACCTCCCCGCAAAGCGGTTGTTACTGAGATCCAGCTCGTAGAGGAGTACCAACTTCCGGAACGTGTGGGGCACAGTGCCGCAGAATCTGTTGGAGTTGATGTGGAATAGTGCAAGATCTACGAGCAAACCGAGCTCCTCCGGTAAATAGCCGGCAATGTCCTGATGGTTGAGATCAATGCCGGCGACTGTACGGACGGAGGGGTTGTCGAGCGCTTGTGCACAGTATACACCGGTGTAGCTACAAACGTCGGATCCTACCCAGTCGGTTGTCTGGTTGCGGGGATCAGATAAAATGGCGAGCTTCCAAGCTTGCAGAGCTATGTAAGCGTTTCTGAGACGGTCATTTTGGAAAGCAAGGGAAGGGTCTACGGTGACATTCTCCCCTCTGTCTCCAAACTCGTCTCTGTAGTACAGAAGATGGCGCGATTGAGTTGGCGTGTGAGGGGAGGCATTGGCACATGTGGCCAGAAAGAAGCCAACGAGGAGGAGTCTGAGATTAAAGGAGTGTCCTTGTTTCTTCTTCATCTCACATGAGGCAGAAGAGAGGAAGAGGGTGCCAGAAAAGGGTTTGTCCCAGGGATTTTTGAACTCACTGCCTCTTTTTTATGAGCAGATAACGTCTCAAAAATAATTCATCCAAGGGACAGCTATGCCACAGCTCAAACCACACCAGATTCTCTCTTCCCTGTTTATTTTTCTTTTAATTATTCACTTCCATTTTCCCCTCTCGTTTTAAAATTAATAATATTATCATTATTAATACCTGAAAACGCAGATAACCGTATCAGAGTTTATTGGTGGTGTGGTTTTAAATCTATGGACACGTACTCTGCCAGTCCTCGATATTGAATTGATTCTCTCTGTTCACCCTGCAGTGTTAATATTTAAAATATTAATATATTAATTAATTAGGATATATTTAAACGTATGTTAAGTGTAGTTTTAAGCGTAATTAACTTGAATCCAGTGAATTTATTTATTTAATTATTTGAATTATGAAATTTATGTATGGTTGGTCGCATAAGAAAGCGAATGGGTCTGTACAGAGTTCCACTTCTACGTCCCCGCCAAACGCTATAAATTCGTTACGTTACTTTCCACCACCTTCTTTCCAAACCTGACCGCACATTACTCCTCACATTTTCTTTTATTTGCACCATGTAATTATATTATTTCTTCAACTCAAATTTAATTACGTTTTCTTATAATGCTTAAAAAATGTAATACTCCGTCACTAATTTCACTTATTTTAAAAAACTATACTATATCTATTTTAATAATATTATAATTTCTTATACCAATTACTATTCTCTTATTGATATCAAATCTAGAAAGTAAACATTTTTATTATTATTATCAAACATTTAAGCCAATCAACGATGGAGAGATGTAATAGGTTAATAATGATTACTGTATGTTTTAGTTTTAATCTTTAATTGATAAATTTGATAAAATTATAAGAAACTGATATATATTAAAGGATGTATGAATAAATAAAGGTTATTAATAGTTGTTTTGTATGGAATAATAAGCAACAAAGAGAAATAAGAGAAGATTTAATGACAGCTAAGCTAACAGGAGAAGCATGAGTGAATTTGTCCTTGACCAGTTCATTCATGCTCCTTTGCTGTGTCACTTTAGATTGAATCCCACTTTCTTGTTTCTCCTGCATCTCCATAACATAACGTGACGTGATGCGCGTCCACATCACACTACTGTGGACTCTCGCCTTTGGGATTGGGACCCACTCAAGATGGCGGAAGAAACCTGTCCCCTGCGCGACGCAAAACGACATCCGCTCAAACTGTCCTATTGGGACCCACGCGCTTCACCGTTAGCTCCTTCCACCCTTTTCCGATATCACCCTCACAACTTTACTAAAATATTTTACACTATTATATATCAAAATTTAACTAAAATCTAATTTTTCTACCTTATCTTTTTCTAATGCCAAACATAATTTATTGGATGGGATGGATAATAAACTTAATTTTTAAAACTTTATTTGAATGAATTTGACTTTTGAATAGTTTTCTAAAATTTATGTTAATGAAAAATATCTATCAAGTTTTCATTTCAAATACATATATAGTAAATAAAGTTTAAAATATGTGAGATAACACTAAAAAAATACTGTTTTGATCTTAAATTTTCGATTAATATAGTTAGAGTTAATTCTTTTTTATTTGAGGTATATTGAAATATGTGTTTTATCATAATTTTATTTTTAAAAGATACATAAAATTGATAAATGAGTATTTATTTATTTTTAATCTCATCTTAATTAAAACATGACAAAAAGGCGCATAGAAAGATGGTAAGAACAAATATATAATTAACATGACAAGAAATTTCAATTGAAAATTAAGATATATACAATTCATAATATAAAAACAAAGTTGTTAAGTTTTACATTTCCACTCTCGTTATATAATTCCAAAAACATATATATATTTCAATACTAAAAATAACTTGTAGGAAGTAATTATCATGTGTGATCATTATCATTATTTGTATTTGTGTTGAGATTGTGTTAAATGAAATGTCTAAAATGTTTAAATTGTGTTATTTTATGAGGATTTACTGTTTAAATATAATAAAAAACGTGGATTTGTTATGTTTCTTTGTGTTTGTTTAAAGTGATTTATAGATGAATGCAAGATTAGTCCATGATGTCATCCTCTTGTATGTGAAATATTTGGTTTTACAAAAATAACCTCACTGAAAATAGTGTTATATTTTGGCTTAAACCTATTTGAGGTAAGTTATACTATAATGCGATGACTGTGTGGGAACTATGCATGCTTCATGGTAAATAACCCACAAATTTGTAAGGATGCAGCTTCACGGTGAAGAACCCTGAACTATGCATGCTTCGTGCATTTCTAGGAATTGTGCATACCACCATGGAGTTTGCAGCATTAGGAAATCGATTGTATGTTTTTTGGAACCGATTTTTTGAGTGGTTGAAGGAAAATGCTTGTGCATAAAACTAATTCCAACCATTTTGAAAATTGTTACTATATTTCATGCATATTTATATAAATATATAATATTTTTAAAAAAGTGTGATACATAAATGTCAACACCTCCTATCTTGTAACGAAACTAATTTTGTCTAACTATATACATACCAAAACCAAAATCATTATACACGTTTATTTTTTAAAATATATAGGGATTTGTGATTTATTAACCATATACAGCTATTTAAGATGGTATGATTAAAGTTTATCTTCCTATTATCACCTACAAACGAGTTAAAAAAATAGACATTCTATTCCGCGTAGGTTTAAAAAATTAAGACTATGTTCACTTTGATTAATTTAACTGTTAAGAAGAAAATGGAAGCATAGATTTGCAAGATTTATTGTGTTTGTTTTAGAAGATTTGCAATGGTTTGAGAGAATGGATTTGCAGAGGTTACAAGAGAAAATGAATCCTTCTAACAGTTAAAGAGATTTGAGGAGATTCACTTAGTTTTACTATAAAGTACCCTTTATGTATTTTTAAAATAAGGATATGCATAGAATTGAAGATATGGTAATGCAACTCTGCCTATAGTATGTGAGTCTGTTACGGGTGGCATTTTGCATTAGTTTTTTACTCTTATGAGAAAAGTCCACTCTGGGTTTAGTTTTTTAATTATTAAAACCTTAAATTTAATAATAATAATTCACAATTAATTTAATATAATTAACACTAATTTTATTTTATTTTAAATTACTTTTATAACTAAGGATAAAAATTTAATATTTTATTTTTCTATTATTTTTTAAAATGTATCCCTAAAAATGTATTGTATATTAGTTTTTTTTAATTTTACTATTTCAAATAATTTTTACTAAAAAATATATTAATCATAAATATCATTTATTAATAAATATCATTTCATATTACTTTAATAATTATGGACATTTTGATAATTTTTAATTTCTACCAATTAAACATTTTTTTATTTATCACATCAATCAAATCCTACACTAATTTTTACAAACTTTACTTCACAATTCACTCTCAATTACTTCCAACTTCATTCAAATAAATAACAAAATTTACCTTCAAATCCATCAACTTACATATCTTCCAAATGAACAAAGCCTAAGTCAATAAAGTAATAATGATCACAATCTTAAATATCATAGTTAAATAATAAATTTAAAATTTACAATTTATTGAAAGGTAAACTAATTATTGAATTTTTTATTTGTATGGTATACATTGTGTGTTGATATTTATGTATTGTTTGCATTAAAGCATTTTCAACTTGAATGTATTTTTAAAAATGATATATAAGCATTTATTTGAAAAAGAAAATTGGTAGGGTTGGGAGTTTTGAACTCCTAGGGCGAGATAGAGTGACGTTTAAATGTGGGAAACAAGAAGAGAAAAATCCACCCACCATCATCTCATCATTATGCTATTTCTTTTATTGGTTTAGCCTACTTATATGTCATGTTTGGTTACCATATTTTTAAGGAATAATATGCATTTATTTTGTCAACCCATTCTCCTACTTTTTTTAGTTTATAACTACACATCTACTTTCCTTTTATTTTTAGTAATAACAATAATAATGTGATTCTTATTTTTGAAATATCAACTTTACAATAATGTGTTAATACTTTAAATTAAAAATATATATAATTAAAATTGTTGAGTGTATGACTCTTAAAACAAGTGACTCAAACTGATTGTCTAAATTTACTACATAAAATATAGAGTTATTAACTAGTTTATGGAGCTTACGGTTTTGGATCATTTAGCTTATATATTTATCAACTTTTTATATAATATATTTGACATCTTATAATTTTTTAACTGAGGATTAAATATATTTTTTATCATTAAATTTTGATCAAAAATTGAAATTTACTTGTTTCAAACTTTAAATATGAATAAATATAATATTTTTAACTTAAATGTTTTAAATTTTTTTAATGTAAGAAACATATTTATATCATTGTTTGAATTATTTATATTATTTAACATATTATAATTTAAATATTAGTCTAATTTAATAAAATTAAGGTTATTAACTTAAAAAAATTATATATTTTTTTTTTAAAATTTGAGAATCAAAAGTATCAAAATTTAATACAAAAAATAAATTAAAATTACTACATACATATTTAATGATTTTATTATTTTTCATATTTTTTGCATAGCATATATATCACAACAAACAAAAATATTAATATCTCAAATGACTTTTTTATACTTGGTGTCAAAATATCTATCTCCTTTTAATAAAATTTTATATATTTCCTAATTTTTAAATGGACAGCATATTTATATCTCTTAATTATTTTAAAAGATAAGCAGTGTGAATTAATGGGGTAAAGACACGCGTTTTAATACCCACCGTCAATGACTTCAAATTATTCAAATCAAAATGCAAATGAAGTTGGCATTTTGGTCTATGCATCTCCACTTCAGGAATGGAGAATATGCAATGCTAGACTAATGATACCATCACACATTTTTACACAAATTACAAAGATAAAATTATCGAAAAGATATAAATTTTTGTATTATTTTAAAAAAGAAGAAAATAAAAAGTGAGTAAAAATAATATCAAAGAAATGTAAAATATTTAAGTGTGTCAAATAATTTTTTTCATACAACTAAAACTACCACTAAATTTAACACAATTCAAAGAAAAAGGTTCAACTCAACATAAGAACCACTACTTTTACTTAATAAAACCTTAAACCCATAAAAAAATAAAATAATAGTTTGACATCGAAGAATAAAAACTGATTTACGTCTTAATTTAATAATATATATTATTTCAAATTAAAAATTAAAAAAATACAATTAAAATGTTCAATTTTCTCTTACAAGTTTTATGAAGAAAAACAAAATAAAGAGAACATGAAAAAGTAGACGCGTAAACCCCCATAACGAAGGAAACCCATCGAAAAAGAATTGTAAGATACACGTAGAAAACATAAATAATGATGGTTAATTAATTTTTAAAGACTTAATTAGTGATTTATTCTTTAAATTTATTGGTTTGGTTCATTTGATTCTTTTATTATTTTTGGATTCAATTTAATTCCTAGTTTATAAAAAGGTTTAATTTAATCTTTTGTATTGAGTTAACATTAACGCTTTTGGTGGAAGATAAAGATGTCACATAATAGTTTTTTAAACTCCTGATACTTGAATAAAATTTTGATATCTTTTAAAAAACTTACATCATCTATAATTTCGTCTAGTAGATATATATTATTGCTGTGAATATTATTTTAAATATCTGTAATGTTATATATGTTTTTAGTTATCTTGTTTTACTTTATTAATTTTGTAATATTTTATTTAATAAGTTTATGTCGTTAAATGAAATATTATATTGATAGGATTTTTTTAATAATGAGTGCAAGGCTTAGATTTTTAAAAAAGAATTAAAGCATTAATAGTACGAATTATGACAATTTTAATTTAATTTTATTTAACCAGGAATTTTGTTAACAATGTTTGTTTGGATTTACGAATTGCATCCATCAAGAGTTTTAGACTTGTCAATATAATAAATGGATTTGCATTATATATATGAAAAAGTAGAACATTAATGTTTATTTTATACTTTAGTATTAATAGTTTTAATATTAAATGTTGTTAATTAAGCTGTTTTAAGTGTAAACTTTCATTCTTAATGTATAATAATAATAATAATTTAAAAATGGTTTAATTTTAAAAAGACAGTGAGACAGTAGGTCAAATGGGTCAGTATAAAGTATACGTTGAACTCTTTTTTCAAGAGATGTTGAATTTATCATTTAATACCAAACTCTAACATTAACTTCAAGTTATACTATGTTAATAAACAACGTAAGATTAAGTTAATGAGATAGAATGGGTGATGAACATTCCTAGACTCCTAGATTCCTAGACTAAGAATGTTTAAAAACTCCAATTAAGAAAAAAAGGCACAATAATAAATTATAAAATAGAAAAGTATAAGTGAATTGTCAACAAGGAAGGGAATAATATAATAAGTCTTTCTTACTAAGGTTATTTGACTATTTTAAAAAGTTTTAAGATAAATTTGTATAGTGTTAAAGTATCTTTAAATTATGAGAGTTATATACAAAAAGACAAAATATTAAGGCATTTAAATTATGTTAGTGTATTAATTCTTTTATTTTAAAATTATGAAATTAGAGAGTATTTGTGGTAATCGTGTTGATCATAATAAACAGAGTCCATTTGCGGTATCTAATAAAAGTAGGTAGTTTCTTCCTGCTCCTTATAACTTTCTTCCTGGATTTATATAAGTTTATTATTTTTTAATTATATAATTTCAAAATTAAAAAGTATTTTTTAAAATGCGTAATTCAGAAATCATTTTTCATTTAAATAAAATTAGATTATACAACTTTAAAGTAAAATATAACTTTTAATTTAATCCAAAAAGGATGAAATGAGAAATACAGGAAGAAATTGACATAAGAACATTTATGTTTTCGGCCCATAAAGATCGGTTAGCCTGGTAAGCCCATCGATATCACGGATCCGTTTTTTTCTTTTTTTAATTAGATTTTGTATACTTATGATTAATCAATGTTATTTTTATGATTAATGTAAAAATATCTTATCGTTTTTAATTGAAAAGTAAATTGAAACTATATTTTATTTTTAAAAGATTCTTAGTGTGTTTCCGTAACAACACATGTATAAAACTGAGTGAAAATAATAGATGATTGTGAATAATTGACTTATTTTATAAAAAATAAAATTACAATTAGATTATATAACTATCCGGTCAATCATGGATAAAACTGTCGACCATCAAATAATGAAATAATCGCAAATAAGATCAGTTATTAAGAATAATTAGGTTTAACTTAAACCAGGTTACTAGTGTATGTGTTTAATTGGACTGATCCTATTTAGAAGTCCAACACTAAAGTCTATAAATACAAGTTTGATATCCAAATAGTTTATATATTTATTGTAAAACTATTTAGACAAAAAATAACTTGAACATCAAAATACTTTCTGTAAATAACATTTGAATGACACTAGTACTAGAACATATTACGACCTAACTTAGAATTAAAAGACAAGCAAGATAACTCAACCTCGATCTCATAGACAAAAACAATAATTAAAATCTGACATCAATAAAAATGTGTTTATTATTTTGAACCACATCTATTATTAAAAGGGATAAACAAAAAGAAGCATTCATATATAGTTGATAATAGAAGAAACAAAGTGTTTTTTCTAAATGACATTACATAAGGAGTTAAAGCATAACTTATTGCGAAAATAGAAAGAGACAGACATATGGGTGTTGAATTATTCAAAGCCAAGGAGAATTGCGAATAGGTGTAACAACAGATTTAATTTGCAAGTATTTGTGAAGGGCCTCCATGCCCAAATCTCTTCCAAATCCACTCATCTTGTACCCTCCAAAAGGAACTTCACTCCCCGCAACGAAATAGCAGTTTATCCAAATAATGCCTGCACGAATAGATCTTGACATTGTGTTTGATGTATCCAAATTGTTTGTCATAATGCCTGCTGCTAAACCGTACTTCGTATTATTCGCACTTTTAATTGCTTCCTCTATTGTCCTGTTTGTATGCCATACTTAAATTCAATCCTCATCAACAAATCCACAAACCCACAAACATTACATAACTAAATTCTGAAACTTACTTAAATTTCATCAATGCCAATACAGGGCCGAATATTTCCTCTTGTGCTATAACCATGTCGTCCTAAACAAGTTTTTGTATCAGAAAAATGGAAACAAGATTGTTAGTTATGAAACTAAGTTGTTAAAGATAGCCACAATATATAGAAAGAAATCACCTTTACGTTGGAGAAAACTGTGGGTTCAATGTAGCAACCTTTATCGCCAACTCTGTTACCTCCGGTCAAAAGTTTTGCACCCTCTTTCTTTCCGTGCTCAATATAGGAAAGTATTTTCTTGAATTGGTCCTTGCTAGCCTATGTAGAAAACGAGTTAAGATAAATTTCACTGCAAGTAGGAATGAAAGTGAGAAAAAAGAGAAAGTAAATGAATGTTTACTTGAGGCCCTTGCTGCGATTTGGGATCAAAAGGATCCCCAACGACCCAAGCTTTTGCCTTCTCCACCAATTTCTTTTCAAATCCATCATAGATCCCTTCCTGGACATACACGCGAGAACTACCAACACAAACTTCTCCCTGAAAATCATAAGCGACAATTGGCTCCAAATATAAATGTGGCTCATTATATTATACAAGAAAGATCAAAATTTTGTAACAAAAAAAGAAAAAGAAAAACTGACCTTGTTATACATGATGCCCATGATTGCAAGCTCCACTGCCTGGTCTATATCAGCATCATCGAAAATAATGAGAGGAGACTTGCCTCCTAATTCAAGTGAAACTGGTTTTAAATTGCTCCTAGCAGCAGCTTGCATCACTTCGCGCCCTACTTCAACTGAACCAGTAAAACTGACCTAAAGGTGCACAATACAGAAAAGGAAATTGAAATTATTTAGCAGTAAAATTAGTTAAGAAATTGATAGCTGTAAATATTTGAAATTATCACCGCATCAATTTCCATGTGCGAGCTTATTGCTGCACCAGCAGTTGGGCCAAATCCGGGTACTACATTCAGCACTCCATCTGGGATTCCAGCCTTTAAAAGGGACAAACCTAGTTAGTGCAGACCTAAATCAAACTCATTTTGCTAACATTTTTTATTGAGAAATGCAAGTGTGTTGATACGTACGAGCTTAGCAAGATGAGCATAGAACAAAGCAGAGAGAGGTGTTTGTTCGGCAGGCTTGAGGACCATGGTGCAGCCTGCTGCTAAGGAAGGGCTAACCTTGATGAAAAATGAGTGACTGGGTGCATTCCAGGGAATTATGTGTCCCACAACACCAATCGGTTCCATCAGTGTATATGCATGGAAATTTCCGTTCACTCTTAGTACTTCGCCGTGAATTTTATCAGCAGCTCCTGCATAGTAACGCAGAAGATTTGCTGCTGCTGGAATTTCTCCAAACTTGTTGGAATAATACAACTTTCCAGCATCCATGGTATCTAATGCTGCTACTTCTTCTATGTTTTCTTCAATTAGGTCGGCCCATTTCATCATTATCTTTGCCCTCTCCTGTTCTACCATACCAGTGTTAATATCAATTAACATTGTTTAAAGAGGATCACGGACGATAGAAGGGAAAAGAATGACGTACAGAGGCAGCCATGCGAGGCCATGGACCTCGGTCGAACGCTTCACGTGCTGCTGCAACAGCAACATCAATGTCTTCTCTGTCTCCCTCACTCACTCTTGCAATTACCTCTTCTGTTCTTGGATCTATAGTCTCAAATGTCCTCCCTTTTTTGTTTAGATTTAAATAATCACGAACCAGTTTGTTAACAATGACAATGATTTACGGTGTTATATACTAAAAATTGACTAATTAAGCTTTGAACATTAATTAAAAACGAAAAGTAACAATAGTTATAATCTACAGTAAATGACAGTATGAACCTGATATGGAATCAACAAAATTTCCATTGATGAAGAGCTTGGTAAACTTGATGGTGGGCATGTTGAGGAAGGAGTTGTTGTGGGTGTCACTGGAAACAGAGAGAGCACTCATCTTTGCCAGCATCTGGTCTGAGAGGTTCCTTTACAGTGGAATTTATGATCATGATAATGTACCTATATATAAAAACAAGAACATGAATGGGTGCGTAGCATTATTCTCCACCTAACCTCACTTCATTTTCTGTTCATTAAAAAAATGAAATAATTAACACGGCGTTTCTCTTATGTCTGTTTGATTCTACGTATCCAAGATATCTCTGTTCATGAAGATGTCCTGTCGACTAAGAAATAAGAAGAAAGTGCAAAATATAAAACAATAAATGCATCAATCGGGAAATAAATACATCATAATCTTATATTCAGAAGACATGATAAATTATATTTTAATATTGATTGAAAAATAAAATTAATAAAATTAATTAACATATTATTATTTCAGCATACAACTTTTTTATAGATTCAAAGTTTATCATATTTTATTATTTTAATTAAAACTTATATATGTTTAGCTATTTATTTCTTTACTTTTTTAAAAATATATTAAGAACAAAATTATTCTATACAAAATTATTGGTTCAAAAGATCATTTATTGAGAAGCATGGTGAGTTTTTTAAGTTATCTCTGTTGCAGTGTATTGAACGACTTTTTCATTTAAAATCATTTATTAAAAAGCATGTTTTTTTTTCCTAAGTTATCTCTGTTGCAATGCTAATTGGACGACTTTTTAATTTATTTTTTCTAGATTCTGATAGCACTTTTAAGATTTTTTTGCAACTTTTACTTCAACAAAAATGTTTTTATATTTGTAGCTCTAGGTGGAGCAATCATACCATTAGAGAAAAATGATTGAAAACTATTTGCTCACAAGTATCGTTTCTGTAATATAACATTAGCAAGTGCTCACAAAAAGTTAACATTAAATTATGAATATTTTAACAATCATGTAAATGTGAGATATGTAATCACTTCTAGCTGGCATCACTACTCACTTAAATTTAAATGGGAAAACTATATTTTCTTAAAAGAAAAGTAGAAACTGACGAAAACTGGGGAGTGTGAAATGCATTATCAATTAATATACATACATACATACATACATACATATATATATATATATATATATATATATATATATATAAATTAACTATATTCATTTTGTAAACTAAAACTAAATACTTAACATTCATTCTAGAAAGAACCTCTCAAAATAACATAAATGAAATGAGTCGAATTTGTATTGTAGAGCTTACATGGATCGAACTTATATGGTCGATTTTAAGTTATCAAGCTTATATGAGTTTATAACTTCTTTTTGTTATTCTGTTAGGTTTACGTGTTTTCTTATGTTATGTAGATCCTATGTTGTATACATAATTCATTTTTTTTTCTTTTTACAAAAGTAATTTTTACACAATAATATTCATTCATTCTCTTCTTGTTGAGCTGAGTATTTGTTCAAATATACAAAGTCTTCATATAAAATGATGAATATCTCTCTCAACACGTCGTTAAGTCATAAGAATATAAAACTTTATCATATATTTGTTTTTCAATTTTATTTCAAACTTTATAATTGATTTTAATTTGTAAAAATATTTTATTTTTCTTATTTTTAAACATCTAAATATATCAATAGTTTCTCGTTTTCTATTTTTAATTTATATGTAACCAATTTTAGTTTACTGAAAAGTTTTTTTTTTTCTAGAGAAGTTTATCAAAGAAAATATAAATGTTAACGATATTTTATATTTTGATTTTTAAAATTGTTTTCTTGGTTTCCATGATGTATTTTGATTATATGTAATGAACAATAAAAGTTGTTTTGTCAATTTCGAGAGAATTGTAATAAAGAGGAATGGAACAGACCCAAAGGTTGACCAATGTGTGGGACCTGAAGGAACAATCAAAGGGACACGTGGCACGAGGCACAGAGAACAGTGATGTGGTGTAGTGAGAGAAAGTATTTTTTTTCTATAAGTATAGGGCTGCATTTAGTAATGACAGGGTGCAGAAAGCAATAGCCGATGAAGAAATACCTCGTTTAAAGCCTTGAGATTCGGAAGCCCAAGACCATATATTTTTGGATTTTGCTGGTGTTTTACGCCCAACTCCAACGTTGCTGATCATGCCTTCAATTTGAGTGTTACTCCCTCCACCACCCCATCTTCTCCCTCCACCTCCCCAATTTTTTCTAAATTCCAATCTTACCCTTTTTACTTTTGCTTTTATCTATTTTACTTTTTATTTTTTAAAACCCTAATCCTCTTTCACTTTCACTCTTTCCCTCGTAGGCAAGCCCCCACCCCACTTTCACTTTCTCTCTTTTCAATTTTCACATCCATTAACACCATTCTCCATTTTTGTCTTTTCTTCATTTTTTATTCTCGAAAGCTTAGTTACGTTATATTATATATGGTTTGATAACTTTTGTCATATTTTTTAAAAAGTAATGAAAAAAGGTTGATAATTTGAACAACAAATTTCATGTGGTAGTTCATCAACATATGTGAATGTGAGGATTTCTCAATGTGGTGTAGATTTAATAAACTAGTTCTGATATTCAAAGTCACATGATGTAATATATGGTGGTGATGTAGAGAAGGTGAAGGGAACTCGTGACACTGTTGGCGAAGAAGATTGTAGGGATTAATTAGATTATGTGTTAACAAATGTGAAAATTGAAAAGAAAAAGAGAAAGTGAAAGTGGGGGTGGGGGTTTGGCTCTAATAGAAAGAGTGAAAGTGAAAAAGTAAAAAGTAAAAAGGGTAAGATTGAAATTTAAAAAAAAATTTGGAAGGTGAAGGGAGAAAATGGGGTGGTGGAGGGAGTAACACTCCTTCAATTTTTAGGAAAGGCTATTTGAAGCTATAAGCAGCCCATGATGTAAGTTGGAAGAAAGTGTGCCACTGAGTTTACGAGAGTCTGACAATTTAATATTTTTTCAAATAACAAGTGCACGAATAAATAGATAAATATTACTTTTTTTTGCTATTTTCTTTCATTAATTTTTCATAATTGCACAGTGAAAACAACAAAAAAAGAAGAAGGAATTGACAATAACATTGTTGAAGAACTGATTTTCCACGACTTATGAGAAGTGGAAATTGATAATCCAAGTTATAGATAAATTCAAAGCCAAGGAGAATTGTAAAGAGGTGTTACAACAGATTTAACTTGCAAGTATTTGTGAAGGGCTTCCAAGCCATGATCTTTTCCAAATCCACTCATCTTGTACCCTCCAAAGGGAACATCATCACCAAAGGCAAAGTAGCAATTTATCCAAACGGTACCTGCACGAATCGACCTTGACACAGTATTTGCTGTATCCAAATTCTTTGTCACTATGCCTGCTGCTAACCCATACTTACTATTATTCGCACTCTTAATTGCTTCTTCAATGCTCCTGTTGTTCACATATCATAATAATTAACATAATAAATATCAGAACACAACAATAATCAATAAGAAACATGACAACATAACCTCAAAACAAACTTACTTAAACTTCTTCAACGCCATCACAGGGCCAAATATTTCATCTTGTGCTATGAGCATATCGTCCTAAACGGAAACACGATGGTTAGTTATCTAATTATGCTAAAGATAATTAACCTTTTCATGACTGGAATTTACCTTTATATCAGAGAAAATTGTTGGCTCAATGAAGTAGCCCTTATTGCCCAATGTTTTACCACCGGTTAAAAGCGTTGCTCCTTCTCTCTTTCCATGCTCAATGTATGAAAGAATCTTCTCGAACTGTTCCTTGTCAACCTAACATACAGAAAATTGTTAGCTGATTGATGAACATCATAGTATTTTCCGAACTATGTTTTTGTACTTTAGAACTGGTGTAGACATAATTGTGTCTTGCCTAATTTTCTTACCTGTGGTCCTTGTTGGACTTTAGGATCAAAAGGATCTCCAACCACCCAAGCTTTTGCCTTCTCCAACAATTTTTTCTCAAATTCATCATAGATCCCTTCTTGCACAAATACACGAGAACTTGCTACACAAACTTCTCCCTACAAGAAACTAAGTGTTGGCAAAGGCATAACATAATCAGATGGTATTTGTATTTGATTACCAAAAGCACTATCACCTTGTTATATAGGATCCCGATCAAAGCAAGCTCAGCAGCCTTTTCTACATCAGCATCATCGAAAATTATGAGGGGCGACTTGCCTCCTAATTCAAGTGAAACTTGTTTCAAGTTACTCTTAGCTGCAGCCTGCATTATCTCACGACCCGTTTGGGTTGAACCGGTAAAGCTGACCTGAAGGTGCCACCAATTTAAGAAACATAATTCAAGCAGTGTTCTTTAATTAAGATCGTTATATAATTGTAAATATTTGAGTCTGTAAAGCACCTTATCAACATCCATGTGTGAACTTAATGCAGCACCAGCAGTTGGGCCAAATCCTGTCACAACATTGATCACTCCATCTGGAATTCCAGCCTTCAAAGAAGAAGGAAAACCATGGTGAAAGAGCCATGCATGCTTGATATTTGTTGAAAATGACACATACGTACCAACTTAGAAAGATGAGCGTTATACAGAGCAGAGAGGGGTGTTTGCTCAGCAGGCTTGATGACCATGGTGCAACCAGCAGCTAAAGAAGGAGCAACCTTAATATAAAACATGGAATTGGGAAAATTCCAAGGAGTTATGTGTCCTACAACACCAATTGGTTCCAGTAATGTGTACGCATGGAACTCTCTAGACATTTTCAAGACCTCTCCGTGAATCTTGTCGGCAGCACCTGCATAGTAACGTAGAGTGTTTGCGGCTGCTGGAACTTCCAAATTCTTACACATGTGATACAGCTTCCCTGCATCAATGGCATCCAGTGTTGCAAGTTCTTCTGCGTGTTCATCAATTAGTTCCGCCCATTTCATTAGTATTTTAGCTCTGTCCTGATTATCAAATCCATGTTGTCAGTTTTCATGAACAAACCTCAAAATTACGTGAAAACTTTTACATTTGAAATAATTAACAGTTTAATGACCTTGTACTAATAATATAAAACAATATTTTGCTAAATAAAAATGTCATCAGCATAACTTTTGATGTTATTAGTGTAAAATTCAACAAATTAAATTTGAATTATTTTGGTTTATTTAGTATCAGTATATGAATTAATCAGTTTTAATTAGATTTAAGTGAATTTAAATTAAATTATGTATTATCCAACACAAAAAAGGGAAATCAGAACAATCGAAAAAAAATAAGATAAAAGAGAAACTGAATAAAATTTGCTAAACAAGCACGTGAAAATTTATTCTCCATGACTATAATTTCTTAATTGAAAAAAAAAAAGTGAATAAGATTATAACTGAGACAACTTTTTTTGTACCATCCTTACTTCCTAATAATGCTCTTAGTGTGTTTCAAATGTAAATATGATTTATATGTAAAAAAATTAAGAGGTCTTAAGTAAAAAACAAATTTCCAATTTTAAAAACGGTATGTAATAATTTAGAGATAGATAAGATGTCTAATAAGTTTTTTTTTCCAATCAATCCAAACTGTCTAATTAAAATTAATTTTATTATTTTGTCATCATATTGTTATAAATTAAAGTACTACCTTTTTAAACTTTAATTTTATATCATTTTATATTTGTATCCAATATTTCACTTAGGTTACTCGACATTATTATAAGTCTTTATTTAACAAAATTTAAGTGGAATTTGTTTAGAAATATTCATGTAAAAGTTTATGAATTTAGTTTAATGGATTTTGGTATTAAATTTAATTTACTCTGACGACAAAATTATACACTAATATAATTTTAAAGAAAATTGTAAAAAAAATGTTACTATTATAAAAAACTGAATTAAATATATAAAAATGATAATAGAATTTTTTAAAATAATGATTAAAGTGTGAAGAATAAACAATATCAAATTGAAATTCGTAAGATCGACAGCTATATCGTGGATCACACGGTTTAGCATTAAATATTCATGATGACATTATTCTTGAATCACAACAATATTAATCTCAGATTTTCTCGGGTTTCTTATTTACTTATACATATTCAATTATATCTGAATAGTAAAATTAAATATTAACTAATTATTTAGGAACATGACTCTATAAGTAAATTTGTCACTTTCGTTTACTTCGACTGCTAAACATACTCCGGTGTTTCACCCTAAGTTCATCCTTTAAATTTCAAATTTATCCTCTAATTAATAAGATTTAGTAAATATTATCATAATAAATTATTATATTATTCATTTATGATTTTATTATCATATTAAAATTAACATTTATATTGTGTTTATTATTTTAATTTATGCTGAAAAATTAAAATATTCAATAACAAATAAAACTAATAAAACGTATATATGTATTCATAAATGAAAGATTTATGTAAGTTATTATCATAAAAAATATTGTATCAAATACGAAAATATGAAAAGAAAAACATTGAATCTCGAAATTCAATGTTTCTTTTTTGGGATTTTCATATCTGTTTTTGATAATTTTTTAATTATATTATTTATAAATGTTTATTAGATTATTTTAAAATATTTTATTATATTAATTTTTAAATGTTTAACTAGATAATTTCTATGAATTAATTTAATTTATGAAAAAATAAATTTATTTAAAATTGATAAATTTATTTAAAAATGATATGAAAAATTTAAAATATGTTTTTAAGTTGTGTTAAATATTATTAATACATTAAAATAATTTAAAATAAATATTAAATATTTACAAACAAAATTATTTAATTTATAATTAATTTAATAAATTGAAATATTTATATACTTAGAAGATTTTAATATTTTATTAAAAAATAACTATATATATCTTAAAATTATAAAAATAAGATATTTTAATGGAGATTGAGAATTGGATCAAAAAATCTGATCAAAAGATTTTTCTACTTTTATTAAAAATTAATCACGTTTTAATTAGGACATTATAGTTATTTTAGAAAGTTTTGAAGATGTAACCTTTGAAAATGCAGGTGGAAATGCCCAAGATACTCTCTTTATTACTATATAAGGTTTTTCGTTAAAAAAAAAGAAATCATTTAATATTTTTTATTTATGATTGAAAAATGGATAATTAAAAAGTAAAAAAAAAAATAGACAATAATAGAAAGGAAAAATAAGCGTACAGCGCCAGACATGCGAGGCCAAGGACCAAAGTCAAAGGCGTGACGTGCTGCTTTAACAGCAATGTCTATGTCTTCCTTATCTCCTTCGCTGATCCTTGTTATAACCTCTCCAGTTCTTGGATCTATGCTCTCGAATGTCTTTCCTGTCAATAATACAGAGAAAACAAAACGAAAGGTGTTAAGAAATGTAGTATAACTGGTGAATTTTTAAATTTATTTCAATTTCATAAAATCAATTCGTAAAATAAAATTTATGTTGATTATATATTTTAAATTAGATTAATTTTTAATTACAGGACTTCTGATAAGACCACAAAAAAGAGTGTTCTAAAAAGAAGAAGACGATGACCTGAGACAGAGTCGACAAACTCTCCGTTGATGAAAAGCTTGGTGAACTTGACCGACGGGAGCTTCTTGACGGAGGCAGCGTCGCCATTGCTAAGACCTGACATCACTCTGTTTCTACTTTTGCTAACCAAAACAGAATTGAAATGTATAATACAAACATAATGAAACCAAAGCACTCATATATATACACGCCACAAATATCATCCAAGGGTAATAAAATAAAAAGAATAAACTCGCTTCTTTATTGACTTTAGATGCCTATTCTGTAATATAATATCCCAAACCTATAATAAATGTAATATATTATTATATTCTATTTCTATTATATAAAATATAATTTAAATTTATGAATTTATTAAGTAGGGGTGACAAATATCATATAATTTTTTTCACCCTTAAAAAAATATTTTTTTTCTTTCATTTCATTAACTCATAATTTTGTCTGCCATTTTTTTAATATTTGAAAAAAATAAAAATAAAAAATAGTACAAATATTTTATTTCAAATGCCATCTTCCTTGTAAAATAATGTTTACATTATATTTCTTTCTCCCACTTATTTTCCATTACCACTTCCTCCAATCAGTTCTACGGAAGTTTTCCTTCACCAACCCATTAATCATTCCATTAATTATCAAAGTTATTTTTTTAATTACAGAGACGATTCCAAACTCGTATTTTTGAAAGTTTTACCATTTTCCAAAAAAAGTATCACCATCTCCGCCACGATCTCGGTGACGACAGAAATGAGTGTATTATGATAGTTTTGTTTAAATATTAAGTTAAGAGGATAATGAGATTTCATATTCTAATGAAATACTTGGTCAAATTAAAAAAATAAAAATAAAACTTATGATCAAAATCAATAAAAATTTAGTAGAATCACTAAATTGTGCAAATTATCATGTTATTATAAGTTTTTTATGAGATTTATATGAGTATAAACTTAATACTAGTACTTTTTGAAAAACATAATCATTATATATGTTGTAGATATTTTAATGACTTTTAATAAGTTTAACATTGAAATTAATATTGTATATTATATATTTAATTAAATAGTTAACTTATTTGATACGTTTTTTAATGATTTTATAAAAGAAGCGAACAGATAACTATTCAAAAACAGATGGAAATATTATGGTATATTAAATCTGGATAGTTTTAGATACTCCAAAGCTTAATTTTTGTAGTTTTGTTTAATTTAAAGACAAGCAAAGGACTAACCTGAGATGAGTGTTAGAAACGCGTCAAACTCATGGCGTTTTACTATTGTTAAACCTAAGTTTATGCAAAATATTTACATTATTAATTATTTTAGAAATTCTGTAGGGTGTGATTTAATATAATTACTATAAAAATTAATAACCTCATTACACACCTGACAATATACAATTAAATGACTCTAAACATTTTTCATAAATATCTCCCATATAAAGAAAATTCATATCGGATTATTGATATAATTAATATTTAAGCGCGCACACACACATATATATATATATATATATATATACACACTTCAATGCTAAACTAGTTAACAATTTTAATGAGGGAAATTACATATTCTTCTTCATCTTTTTAGTTTTCTATGTTTATTTTCTTAAAAAATAATGTAGTTTAATTAAACTAGATCTGATAAATAGTTTTCAAGTCTAAATCAAACTAACATGTAAACACCCCGTAAAAATAATTACTTTGATTTCATTTTGATTTTCCATCAAATTCAAACCAATTTAATATAAAAATTAGAGGTTGGTATGCTTTAAGTAACTGTGTGTTACTTAAACTAATATAAATTCAAATATTCCCTTTATACAAGTGTGATATATAATAAATAAATAAATTATCAGCAGGAAGCAAGAAAACCCTCGCCACCGTCATCAGTTTCCTCTGCTCCCCCGCCTTCCATGAATCATCCGGCGTTGTCATCCCCTCCGCCCTCCACCCTCACTCCTCCGTCCTTGGGTGGTTCTCTACTCGCCGCCGATCCACATCGGGGTCCAGTGGTTCAAGCCCCATTCCTCGACGTCGTCAACATCAGCCTTGCTTTCCGCGACCATTACAGTGCTTTCAGCCCCACCTCGAGCCTCCCCACACTCGACTGTGGGCTCTGTGGCTCCCCAATGGATGAAGCTGGTGACGAGAGGCTCGCCCGGATAAAGCAGGCCGCCAATGACCAGAGGGAGCTCGACGGACGACGACAACACTGTCTTGACCACGCGACGGCAAGAAAACAACGGGGAGGCCGCGGCGGTGACGTTGTGGATGCAGCAGGGAGGGAGCAACAGCGAGGCAACAATGGGGAGGTGCGACGGTGAGGCAGTGGTTGGATGGCAGCACCAACATCTAGATCTTGTGCTGCGAGAACACTGTAGCAGCGACGACCTGTGGTGGATACGATGATGGAGCGCTTGGATGCAGCAAGAAAGAAGAAAAGTGGAGAACTTTTTCTTGGATTTGGATGCAGCGAGAGAGAAGAAAAATGGAGAAGTATTTTTGGATGCAGCACAGAGAAGAGCAGCAGTAGGTAGGGTAAGTGTGCAGTAGTAGGTAGGGTAACTTGCCTCGGTTATTCCTTTAACCGAAGTAATTGACTTCTATTGTCTCGATTCCTTCCTCCAACCGGTGCATATACGCAGATTATATGGTTCGGGTAGTTTCTAACCGAGTTAATATTGCTATTATGTCTATAAATTCGCTCAAATTGCAATACTGCCATCGCATTTATATTTGCTTCGGATTTGTGCAAACCGAGACCTATTAGGCGCGTTAGAAAATTTTTTTTACTAGTAAAATCATATTTAAGCATATATATATATATATATACACACACTTCAATGCTAAACTAGTTAACAATTTTAATGAGGGAAATCACATATTCTTCTTCATCTTTTTAGTTTTCTATGTTTATTTTCTTAAAAAATAATGTAGTTTAATTAAACTAGATCGGATAAATAGTTTTGAAGTCTAAATCAAACTAACATGTAAACAGCCGTAAAAATAATTACTTTGATTTTATTTTGATTTTCCATCAAATTCAAACCAATTTAATATAAAAATTAGAGGTTGGTTTGCTTTAAGTAACTGTGTGTTACTTAAATTAATATAAATTCAAATATTCCCTTTATACAAGTGTGATATATAATAAATAAATAAAACTCATGTTAATACTATTAAATACATAATTTGACTGTGTGTTTCCATTAATGGTCATTCATAGCTATTTTTATCTTTCCTTTTTCTCAAGGATAGAAAAAGATAACCGATTGACTTTAGGTGTATAAATTTGTCCTAAAAGAATGAAAACAATATATTTTTACTTATAATTATACTTAATTATTATAATAACCAATGATTGCACCAAACTAACTTTTGATAATTATTTATAATTCACGCACCGCCCTACAAAATGTTAGTCAAAATTGGGTAGTTATTTTATTTTATAAAATGTCAATGTTGAACAACATTATTAAGGAATAAAACATTATTATTGGAACTTTAAACTCATCAGGCTTTATTACTTCTTCACATTAATCTCTTACTTTAGAGACCCTACAAGTTCTGAAATTAACAAAATCACTTATAAATTTGTATTTACTACTGTCTCATTCAAAAATTGAAAAAAAGTACCTATCTTTTGTATACATATTTTTATATATTTATATTTATGCTGAGTAAATTAACACTATCATTATTCTCTGATTTTTTTTATTAATTAGCTTCCAATATAACATTATTTTATCTTTTTATTTTGGTAATTATGAAGCTAAATGTCTGTAATTATAATCTATAACTTCAAAAGAAAATTATATATGATTGAAATCAGTTCGAATATATCATCTACTAAATCGTAGAGTCTATAAAAAAAGGATTGAAATATTTTGTTTCTAACTCTATTAGTCTTAATTTAGATAGATGTACTTTTCTCTTAATATTTTAGTTTCCTGGTTTAAGATTTTTATTTTTTTTATTTACACATTTTTAAGAAGTCGTGTTTCCTTGTCAGATACGCATACAAGTTGATTTTTGTGTTTGTGTTGTAGCTGTGGAGTTGCTCAGAAGAACCTTTTTTTTTTCTAATTATGGATTAAAATTCTTTTAAAGAAAAATACAATATTTTTTTTAATTTTACTAAAATGTTTATAATTATTTTATAACGTAGTTAATAAGTTTCTAATTTTTGATAAATACTTTTAATTAACTTTTAATTTTTTTAAATTGTGATATTATCTTATTTTTTTAACTTATTTATTTATCTTTTTCAGGTTAAAAATGAGAGTTATATCATTAATATAAATTTATATTAATTACGATTATATAAATCAATAAATAATTTTTTAGCAAACAAGAAACACCATAAGAGTGATAATAATGAAGATTATGATAATGACATAATATAAGTAATAATAGAAAAAAAAATTACATTAATTACAATATTATTTTATATTCATTATAAAATTTCATATTTTTTAAACATGGTAAAAAAAATAAGACAATATAACAATAATACTACTAAGCTAAGCAAAAATTAAAGATAAAAACTTAATTATTTAAAAAACTAAAAAATATAAAACTTTTAAGTTTCCAATAAATCCGAAAAATTTAATATAAATTCAATTAAAAATATTAGAATTTGAAACTTAATTAAATTTTCTTTTCTTTTAAATTAGTACTACAAATACATAAAAAAAATTAATATTAAACGAAGAATAATAATATAAATGAAAAAGAAAAAGTATTCTTATTCCGATTTTAGAAAACAACAATAAGATAAAAAATAGAGTGTGTAGACAAGGAAACTTGAAAAGTAGCGACATCGATGAATAAGATATTTTGGAGTAGCTTGATAATATCTGCAGCAGTGCGCAAATCACAATCGAAAAATCTTTTCTCCAAACACGAAATTGCAGAAATTGGAGAAGCAAACAATTGTGTCCTCTTCAGATATTTATATCATAATGCAATAATGAAAAGTTCGTGAAGAAATTTTCTAAGCTTGATTTTCAATTAAATATGACTGTCTAAATCAACGTTGCATTCTTCCCACAAACAAAAGATCAAACAAACATATTTTCAAGAACTATGCAAATAGGCCCAGCAAGACATGACAACGACATTATAACAAGTACCAACCATGTTAGAAAAGATGGATGTATGTGTTAAAACGAGCTGGCCTAATTCATTAAACTTCATGAACAATTAGTTTAAAATAAATTATTCACATCTAAGTTAATGTATTATATTATACTAGTTATATTCGAAATCATTTTGATGACATGATCCAAGATTATTTCGACCTATGTCTATTTGAATAACATTATCTTATATTGGGAAAGACATACAAAAATAAATAAATTGTGATTAACTTAAAGTAATAACTTACACACATTAACAATAGTATTAAACAAATTAATCAAAGTGATCGTGACGTAAAAAGTATATAGACACATTACTCGTGATAAATTAATTATGTGAATTATTACAATATTTAAAATCATATGACGTATATCAGTAAAAATGTCGGAGTGTCTTTCTAGAGCTACATTTTCTCTGTATCTGAAACTACATTTATGTTTTAAATATATCGACTCGAAGATAAAAAAAAACATTATAAAAAGTTATTTGTGAAATTTTTACATAATATATTTGATCAATTAAAAACATATATCAATAGATCATTAATAAATATTATATATGTATATAATTATCTCTCTAGAGCTCATTAGGTCTAATAAAAATTAAAAATTTGTGATGTGAGCATATTAAGATATAATTTGGAAGGGAATTTAACTTTGTGGAAGAACAAAATATAATGTGTCTGGTGATGGTTTTCTCGAGGCTTGATTGATAAAAACAAGGTGTTGTGGAGGTAAAAGAAAGGAGCATATAATAGTATTTATTTAGAAAACAAATTAAAAAAGATAAAGAAGTTGAAAAATCGCCGTTTTGTGAGAAGGGATATCTTAAAAGCATTGAAAAATGCGACACATTCCCACGTCCACATCTTTCAACCTGCCGTGTCTCATTCGTTATACAGTATCGATTATTTGTATAAGTGGCAAGTATATCCAACTTTTATTTAATATTTTCAGTGACGACTTTGTGTTTAAGATGAAAAATATTGAATTAAAAATACTCTCTTGTTAAATTAAATAATGAAAAAAATCTGAGGTATAATCATAATAACAAGTAATCAAATAATAATGTTTATGCATCTATAGATGGAGATATTATAAGGAGAATAAAAAATTTAACATCTGAATTTTATAACTCATTTTGATTAAAGTAGGTTGATGTAATATGAAATTTAAAGTATTAAATTTTAAATAAAACGTAGATTATAAAAGTAAAAGAAAATTATTTTTAAATTTTCAAATTAAAAATTTAAATAATAAATGATCAAACTGTGAATTTTGTAATACTTTCCGTTGAAATGTAGAATTTACATTAAAGATAGTTTAGGCGAAACCCACGAACAAAGTGAGTCAAGTCATGCGTGACTAGTGAGTCATGCGTGACTAGTGAGTCAGTCCCTCAGTTCGTCAAACATTTTTTAACTTGTGCGTCTAGTTTGATGCATTGGTCCTCTTTTCTTTTATTTTTTAATTAAAAATTAAAATAAAATATTAAACAAATAATTTTGTAATATTATATTACTTAAAAAATGTAACATTTGAATTAGTATTTTTAACATTAACTCATTATAATTGTAAATATAATAATTATTTTAATTTATTTAATTAAAGATATTAATTAAATAATTAAAAATTAAAAAATATTTATATACTTAAATATATTTTTTATTTATATACTTAAATATATTTTTAATATATATATATATATATATATATATAAATGCAAATAATTAAAAATAAAAACAGTTTGTCCACCCTTTAATGGAATGGATTAAAATTTTCAGCCCATTTTTGAATAACAAACCAGTCCATCTCATCAACATACCGAAACAGGAAGAGGTGACTAGTTTTAACACTCCTAATTGTATTTGTAAGAAGATAAAGGTGAAAATAAATATAAAAAAGTGCAGAGCTTTACTGATACAAGAGATCAACCTCTCTCTCTCTCTCTCTCTACGTATCATCATCTATTAGGAGATTGAAAATAGCTGTGATGAGGCCATAGCTCGAACAAAGCCAAACACATGGCTAAGCAGACAGCCCTCTCTCCTATAACCAAGTCCAAACGGTAGAGGCTGAGGCCAAATATTCCTGGAAATTATATACACGAGCCCATTGGGATACCGACGGTACACACATTTTCCGGAATTTTAACTATAATAGCATTTTACCACTTCTGTTAAAAGATAATTTGGAGTTACAGAAAATAGCTATGAAGGAAGAACGAATAAGAGAAATGGAACAAGGCTAAACAAACAGCAGAGTACAGCTCTCGAGATTTTACGAAATGTAATATTAAATTTAATTACTTTAAAAAAGAAAGGAAAATAATTCGGAAGAAAAAGAAGGAACTTTGCCTTGGCACCATATACTATGTATTTGAATAAAACCTTCCCAGGATCTTGTTTCATTTCCAATTTTGACATGGGCAAAACCAGAAATAAAATACATGAAAGTAGCATAAAAATGAGTCACGGGCAGAGAAAGATTGGAAAGGGGGGAAATTTTAAACCTAGCCCCTGTAAGTAGGTTGATCTACTGTGTATGGAGGTGGATATGTTAGGGGAGCACCATTTCTGTAATCGTATATGCCATAGGTAGCCTGTCCTGAATAAGAACCACTAGACCGGTAACCAGATGGACCCAAATTGTCCACAGGAATAGAGTAGTGCTGTTGTGTTATTCCAGCTGGACTTTGCGTGTGGGTAGTTCCATAGGTTGCCACGTAAGGATTAGCCGTTGAACCATCGAATACGGTCTGGCTGGGGTAGTTGAATGGACCAGAAAATCTTGCACCGGGACTGGGTTGCACAGAAGGTGCTAGGTTCCTGCGGCCGAAAGATGACGAGTGTGCATTACTAAATTTGGCTGATTTGGTTGGACGGGAAGAACTGGATCCATTGCCTCGATTGCCTCGTTTGTTCTGAGGTTTAGTTCCTGATGTTGAACTCTTTTTCCTTTCTGCCTTAGCTTTCTCAAGAAGGGTAGCTCGCTTCCTCAAATGATGAAGGTTAAATTCTGATTCAAGCTTGTGATCTTCTACACATTTTATTATAGCCTTAATGGAATTCAACTCTGAAGTGCTTGAATCATCCTGAACAATGAAAAGACATAATTAAGAATCCAATCCATCTAAGGCATACACCGTTTCATCTGTAACATAAACACACCGTTGTAGCATGATTGCTGTTTCCCTTTTTCGACATGGTAGTAACATTCTTTTTGTAGTTCCGGTGATAGGACTTGAGTAGGTTGATCGGAGGAAATCTTTCAGTTAAACCTGATTCTGAAGCAAAATAAACAGCTTCTATCTCTTTGCCACTGCTAATGAGTTCATCTATAATATCTGCATAAATCATTTGCTTAATTAGTATACGCAGGTATTTATACATTGGGCAAAAAATAATTACATAAAAAATATTACTTTATCTCTATTGCAAGGAGAAGTGTAAAAGTATGGGAGCGTACAAATAAATCGGAATCAAGGTAAGAGTTGTATGTGATAACACAGTCTATATTCTCTAACCAGCTTATTTGGGCTGTCATTTTGTTTCTGATTTATCACAGAGGAACATAAAGGTTAAGCAGCTAGTCCGACATGTCTACAAGGATAGGTGTAACAGGAAATCGAGGTGGAAGTTTGGAAAGGTAAACAAGACATTTTATGAAAAGTTGTAGACAGGCAATACATGACAAGTAGGAGGCTGTGGCCTGTTACCAACGAGCAGATGCAACATTGAAAGAGAAAACCAAAGGAGTACCACAGAGAAATACTTTAAGTTAATATCAGTTTCAAAAGGAAAAGATACAAGCAAACTTCTTTAAAAAATAAAATTAAACGTACAAGTTACACAATATTTAAATTTTTGATGACCCAAAATCCCATAGCCCTGTTCTAAATTATGCACTGCATGCTATAACTCAATGCGATGTNTACACACACTTCAATGCTAAACTAGTTAACAATTTTAATGAGGGAAATCACATATTCTTCTTCATCTTTTTAGTTTTCTATGTTTATTTTCTTAAAAAATAATGTAGTTTAATTAAACTAGATCGGATAAATAGTTTTGAAGTCTAAATCAAACTAACATGTAAACAGCCGTAAAAATAATTACTTTGATTTTATTTTGATTTTCCATCAAATTCAAACCAATTTAATATAAAAATTAGAGGTTGGTTTGCTTTAAGTAACTGTGTGTTACTTAAATTAATATAAATTCAAATATTCCCTTTATACAAGTGTGATATATAATAAATAAATAAAACTCATGTTAATACTATTAAATACATAATTTGACTGTGTGTTTCCATTAATGGTCATTCATAGCTATTTTTATCTTTCCTTTTTCTCAAGGATAGAAAAAGATAACCGATTGACTTTAGGTGTATAAATTTGTCCTAAAAGAATGAAAACAATATATTTTTACTTATAATTATACTTAATTATTATAATAACCAATGATTGCACCAAACTAACTTTTGATAATTATTTATAATTCACGCACCGCCCTACAAAATGTTAGTCAAAATTGGGTAGTTATTTTATTTTATAAAATGTCAATGTTGAACAACATTATTAAGGAATAAAACATTATTATTGGAACTTTAAACTCATCAGGCTTTATTACTTCTTCACATTAATCTCTTACTTTAGAGACCCTACAAGTTCTGAAATTAACAAAATCACTTATAAATTTGTATTTACTACTGTCTCATTCAAAAATTGAAAAAAAGTACCTATCTTTTGTATACATATTTTTATATATTTATATTTATGCTGAGTAAATTAACACTATCATTATTCTCTGATTTTTTTTATTAATTAGCTTCCAATATAACATTATTTTATCTTTTTATTTTGGTAATTATGAAGCTAAATGTCTGTAATTATAATCTATAACTTCAAAAGAAAATTATATATGATTGAAATCAGTTCGAATATATCATCTACTAAATCGTAGAGTCTATAAAAAAAGGATTGAAATATTTTGTTTCTAACTCTATTAGTCTTAATTTAGATAGATGTACTTTTCTCTTAATATTTTAGTTTCCTGGTTTAAGATTTTTATTTTTTTTATTTACACATTTTTAAGAAGTCGTGTTTCCTTGTCAGATACGCATACAAGTTGATTTTTGTGTTTGTGTTGTAGCTGTGGAGTTGCTCAGAAGAACCTTTTTTTTTTCTAATTATGGATTAAAATTCTTTTAAAGAAAAATACAATATTTTTTTTAATTTTACTAAAATGTTTATAATTATTTTATAACGTAGTTAATAAGTTTCTAATTTTTGATAAATACTTTTAATTAACTTTTAATTTTTTTAAATTGTGATATTATCTTATTTTTTTAACTTATTTATTTATCTTTTTCAGGTTAAAAATGAGAGTTATATCATTAATATAAATTTATATTAATTACGATTATATAAATCAATAAATAATTTTTTAGCAAACAAGAAACACCATAAGAGTGATAATAATGAAGATTATGATAATGACATAATATAAGTAATAATAGAAAAAAAAATTACATTAATTACAATATTATTTTATATTCATTATAAAATTTCATATTTTTTAAACATGGTAAAAAAAATAAGACAATATAACAATAATACTACTAAGCTAAGCAAAAATTAAAGATAAAAACTTAATTATTTAAAAAACTAAAAAATATAAAACTTTTAAGTTTCCAATAAATCCGAAAAATTTAATATAAATTCAATTAAAAATATTAGAATTTGAAACTTAATTAAATTTTCTTTTCTTTTAAATTAGTACTACAAATACATAAAAAAAATTAATATTAAACGAAGAATAATAATATAAATGAAAAAGAAAAAGTATTCTTATTCCGATTTTAGAAAACAACAATAAGATAAAAAATAGAGTGTGTAGACAAGGAAACTTGAAAAGTAGCGACATCGATGAATAAGATATTTTGGAGTAGCTTGATAATATCTGCAGCAGTGCGCAAATCACAATCGAAAAATCTTTTCTCCAAACACGAAATTGCAGAAATTGGAGAAGCAAACAATTGTGTCCTCTTCAGATATTTATATCATAATGCAATAATGAAAAGTTCGTGAAGAAATTTTCTAAGCTTGATTTTCAATTAAATATGACTGTCTAAATCAACGTTGCATTCTTCCCACAAACAAAAGATCAAACAAACATATTTTCAAGAACTATGCAAATAGGCCCAGCAAGACATGACAACGACATTATAACAAGTACCAACCATGTTAGAAAAGATGGATGTATGTGTTAAAACGAGCTGGCCTAATTCATTAAACTTCATGAACAATTAGTTTAAAATAAATTATTCACATCTAAGTTAATGTATTATATTATACTAGTTATATTCGAAATCATTTTGATGACATGATCCAAGATTATTTCGACCTATGTCTATTTGAATAACATTATCTTATATTGGGAAAGACATACAAAAATAAATAAATTGTGACTAACTTAAAGTAATAACTTACACACATTAACAATAGTATTAAACAAATTAATCAAAGTGATCGTGACGTAAAAAGTATATAGACACATTACTCGTGATAAATTAATTATGTGAATTATTACAATATTTAAAATCATATGACGTATATCAGTAAAAATGTCGGAGTGTCTTTCTAGAGCTACATTTTCTCTGTATCTGAAACTACATTTATGTTTTAAATATATCGACTCGAAGATAAAAAAAAACATTATAAAAAGTTATTTGTGAAATTTTTACATAATATATTTGATCAATTAAAAACATATATCAATAGATCATTAATAAATATTATATATGTATATAATTATCTCTCTAGAGCTCATTAGGTCTAATAAAAATTAAAAATTTGTGATGTGAGCATATTAAGATATAATTTGGAAGGGAATTTAACTTTGTGGAAGAACAAAATATAATGTGTCTGGTGATGGTTTTCTCGAGGCTTGATTGATAAAAACAAGGTGTTGTGGAGGTAAAAGAAAGGAGCATATAATAGTATTTATTTAGAAAACAAATTAAAAAAGATAAAGAAGTTGAAAAATCGCCGTTTTGTGAGAAGGGATATCTTAAAAGCATTGAAAAATGCGACACATTCCCACGTCCACATCTTTCAACCTGCCGTGTCTCATTCGTTATACAGTATCGATTATTTGTATAAGTGGCAAGTATATCCAACTTTTATTTAATATTTTCAGTGACGACTTTGTGTTTAAGATGAAAAATATTGAATTAAAAATACTCTCTTGTTAAATTAAATAATGAAAAAAATCTGAGGTATAATCATAATAACAAGTAATCAAATAATAATGTTTATGCATCTATAGATGGAGATATTATAAGGAGAATAAAAAATTTAACATCTGAATTTTATAACTCATTTTGATTAAAGTAGGTTGATGTAATATGAAATTTAAAGTATTAAATTTTAAATAAAACGTAGATTATAAAAGTAAAAGAAAAATATTTTTAAACTTTCAAATTAAAAATTTAAATAATAAATGATCAAACTGTGAATTTTGTAATACTTTCCGTTGAAATGTAGAATTTACATTAAAGATAGTTTAGGCGAAACCCACGAACAAAGTGAGTCAAGTCATGCGTGACTAGTGAGTCATGCGTGACTAGTGAGTCAGTCCCTCAGTTCGTCAAACATTTTTTAACTTGTGCGTCTAGTTTGATGCATTGGTCCTCTTTTCTTTTATTTTTTAATTAAAAATTAAAATAAAATATTAAACAAATAATTTTGTAATATTATATTACTTAAAAAATGTAACATTTGAATTAGTATTTTTAACATTAACTCATTATAATTGTAAATATAATAATTATTTTAATTTATTTAATTAAAGATATTAATTAAATAATTAAAAATTAAAAAATATTTATATACTTAAATATATTTTTTATTTATATACTTAAATATATTTTTAATATATATATATATATATATATATATAAATGCAAATAATTAAAAATAAAAACAGTTTGTCCACCCTTTAATGGAATGGATTAAAATTTTCAGCCCATTTTTGAATAACAAACCAGTCCATCTCATCAACATACCGAAACAGGAAGAGGTGACTAGTTTTAACACTCCTAATTGTATTTGTAAGAAGATAAAGGTGAAAATAAATATAAAAAAGTGCAGAGCTTTACTGATACAAGAGATCAACCTCTCTCTCTCTCTCTCTCTACGTATCATCATCTATTAGGAGATTGAAAATAGCTGTGATGAGGCCATAGCTCGAACAAAGCCAAACACATGGCTAAGCAGACAGCCCTCTCTCCTATAACCAAGTCCAAACGGTAGAGGCTGAGGCCAAATATTCCTGGAAATTATATACACGAGCCCATTGGGATACCGACGGTACACACATTTTCCGGAATTTTAACTATAATAGCATTTTACCACTTCTGTTAAAAGATAATTTGGAGTTACAGAAAATAGCTATGAAGGAAGAACGAATAAGAGAAATGGAACAAGGCTAAACAAACAGCAGAGTACAGCTCTCGAGATTTTACGAAATGTAATATTAAATTTAATTACTTTAAAAAAGAAAGGAAAATAATTCGGAAGAAAAAGAAGGAACTTTGCCTTGGCACCATATACTATGTATTTGAATAAAACCTTCCCAGGATCTTGTTTCATTTCCAATTTTGACATGGGCAAAACCAGAAATAAAATACATGAAAGTAGCATAAAAATGAGTCACGGGCAGAGAAAGATTGGAAAGGGGGGAAATTTTAAACCTAGCCCCTGTAAGTAGGTTGATCTACTGTGTATGGAGGTGGATATGTTAGGGGAGCACCATTTCTGTA